GTTTTCCGATAACATTTCCCTTTCATGATGATTTCTTCGTTTTGATGCTTTGCTTTTGAAGAGCATTTTGCTGTTTGTTTGTCTGTAATTTGTAACCATTACAAAGGAAAGTTTTACAATAAAGGGTTTGCGAACACACATTACAAAACACATACATTGGTAGTGTAAGCGCATACCATCAATGAATACAGATGAAAAGTATAAACATCTGCAAAAACGTGCGTTTTCATTGAATGTTGAATTTGAAAAATAATTTAATACTTTTGCGGAATCAAAGAAATACAAAACTTTTTTTTTTTGAGCCCTTTCATTGATGATGGATGAAGAGGACTGTAGTGTACCTTCTTGTGTGGTTGTAAAAATTTTGAAAGTTCTTTATATGTGTTTGTATTTCGTAAAAGTAAAAAAAGTTAAATAAGTTAGCGTAAAAAGATTTTTTTTACTTCTTAGTAATAATTTTATCTACTTGCTGATTTTTAGTCCTGACCTCCGTCATATAATCCGAGATTAATCCTCCGACATATAATCTGAGATTATTATTTTTTTAGAATATACTTCAGGGATCATCAGAGTCGTAAATTAAAACATAACAAATTTCTATGACTGTCAGAGTTCTAATAAAGTTAAAAGTATATTTCAAGGATTTTTAAAAATATACAGGGTGCGATAGAAATAACTGCAACAAAGTCAAAAGGCCATAATTTTTACATTTTTTTAAATTTTATTGAATGAAAGCAAAAAAATAGCATCAAATTAGGATAAGTTTAGATTTGTTCGAATTGGTCACCGAATTATGGCTTTCAAACGTCCAATGAAACCGTCACACGCTGCCCAAATGTTGCTCTGCGGTATTTTGGCCTATTACCGGCGTAGAGCTTGCTTGAGGTTATCGACACTTTGGTATTTTTTGGTGCCAAACTTCCTTTCCAAAATCCTAGAGATGCAATAGTCCAACGGATTGCTATCCGGAGACTTCGGTGGCCAATGTGTGCTGGAAATGAAGTGAGGGACCACATTTTGTAACCATTCATGGGTGGCACGTGCTGACTGCGATGGTGCTGAGTCTTGTTGGAATATCCAAGGTCTGTGGGCAAAATGTTTCCGTGCCCAAGACTTTAATACACCCTCCAGAATATTTTCGCGATAATATTCCGCATTTATTCTGATGCCACGGTCGATTAATACGAGAGGAGAGAGACCATCGGCTGTTATGGCGGCCCACACCATCACCAGCTGACCTCTTTGGGAAGTAAACACGATCAAACTGCTAGACAACGAACGGAGAAAACCAAATTCGGCAATTCTTTAGCTCTTTTGAGTCTATTTTCTTTATGTTGCGGTGTAAGTTCTTGCTGTTTTTGGAATTTCAATTTTACCCCGAGCTCATTTCTTAATATTTGCGAATGGAACATTGCGATATGTTTAGCTTACGAGCCATTTTTCGGCCACTGCGACGCGGGTTTCGATCAAGTCGCTTCTTTACTTTTCGAACCATTTCTGCTGATGTTGCTATTTTCTGCCATCCACTTCCTTGACGTCGGTCTACGCTACCAGTCACGGTAACGAGAGAGACTTCACTATCAAATTTCCAGATTCCAGCTCTATACATTCACTTAATACCAAATATGCTACCATTCAGTACTTTTTGTACAATTATAGTACACATTTTCGAAACCCACTTCTCCTGGTAACACATGAACAACGACCATAATAACAAATTTCTGATTGCAAGCACTACGAAATTTTACAAAATTTAGTACTAATCAGTACTTTTCGTACACTTGTAGTACACATTTCCAAAATCACCTCTTTATCACAAACCTACCATAAACAGGGATCCCAATACAAAATCAGTTCTATCCGTCCCCCTAAACCAACATGTTCGAAATTTAGTAGCAGTTATAGTACACACCTAACACAACTGTTCCAAATTTAGTACTTTTCGTACAATTATAGCACACATTTCGAAAACCACCTTCACATATCAAACATACTTTCTACCCTTGATTCTCATACCACATTTTTAGCTCTATCCGTTACAACGTTACAGTTCGTATTTTCAAAAACCTTTTCGTACATCCATCCTGCACTCCATTAGTAGCCCTCATACCAAATTTTAGAATATAAGCTCATTCCGTTTGTCCAATACAAATTATTAAATATTTAGCATTCTTCATACCCTCTTAGTACGAACTTTTTTTAATTTTTATACTGTGGACTATAAATGAGGAGCTAAGGTATAGCCCCTATATAACGGTAACTCCCGATATTTGGTATTTTGATGATACTGGTCCACGTCGTCGTATAGACCCTAATATAACGGCTACATTAGGTATTTTTAGGATTTTAACAGAATATTTAACGGATTTTATTTTTGAAAATTGCCATATTCGTTTCAAATGGTGCAGGGTATTCAAAGTTCGTCCCTGCCGGACTTACAGCTTTTTTCTTGTAAGTAATATTTAGGTTAAAATCGTGGATTTTTTTAACAATGTCCTTGCAAGGGTTTTTAAAGTTATTATGTTGGATATTTTGAAGAATATATGTCTTTACATCTTGCATATATTTCAAAAGTGTTTTCACAGTCAATTGCTGATTTTCAAGATATATTTTTTATCGGAAATGATTGCAGTTTTCAACATATAAGTTTCACGAAAATCTTTCTTTAAAAATTTAATGGCACTCCAATAATATTGTGTTTAATAAAAGTCAATGCTCCCTCCGAAAAATCATTAACAAATTCAATCTCTTCACTTCAACAAGGAACTTATGTGGCATTTGCCGACAAGGAAGATGAATGACCCATAATGTGATTATATATATACATATAAATCAATGATAATTTTCCTTTTTCAACACAATGTGTTGTTCCTCCTACATATATCTCAAAATCGCAGGGAAAAGTGAAAACGAATGAAAAATATTTCTTTATAAATTAATCATAATATCATCATCGTTGGGCAAATATGATAGGCAAATGAAACAGTCGAATCCAGTTTAATGAAATTTACATGAGAAGGAGATATTTATTAATTTCATTATATTTTTTTAAATGAATAAAAACTAATTTCAATGTTATTATTATTTTTCCGAAAGTTTCGTCAGCTTGCATTCAACTTACTGAGGGTACATTAAATAGAATGTTATCTCGATCCATGCTTGGAAATTATTATCAAGTAAAGAAGTATTATGTAAATTAGAATACATATAGAGGGTGAGATGAAAAAACTGCAACCAACTTCATTTCTAAGCCACTCGTCCGACAACTGTTAAATTAATTCCAGTGACAGCTCATTTTATTGTTTACACGCGTACAAAAGCATTTTGGTGAGAATTTTCCAGAAAAAAAGTTATTCGTGATTGAATTCAAGCGTGATAGTATAATGTCTTATATTTGGCTGGAAAACCACAAGTCGCTATCGATAGAGCACTCCAACATGTAAATGTGAATAGATCTATACCTCGTTACCGTGATACTCGTATACCTCGTTACCGTGATACTGGTAGCGTAGCCCGACGTCAAGGAAGTAGATGGAAGAAAACAGCAACATCAGAAGAAATGGTTCGGAAAGTAAAGGAGCAACTTGATCGAAACTCACGTCGCAGTGGCCGAAAAATGGCTCATGGGCTGAACATATCGCAATATTCCATTCGGAAAATATCTTTAAAAATGAGTTCGGGGTAAAGCCATTTGAAATTCCAATAAGATCAAGAACTAACAACGCAACAGAAAGAGAATGTACTCAAAAGAGCTATAGAGTTGCTTTGCTCGGCCGAAAGTGGTGAACTGCCGAATTTGTTTTTCTCCGATGAGAAAACATTCGTTGTCCAACAGTTTGTAAACAAACAAAACGATCGTGTTTACTTGCCAAATAGGTCAGCTGAAAATGTGCACCTTCGGTTGTCCACCAGAACTCAATCGCCAGCCATGGTGATGATTTGGGCCACCATAACAGCCAATGGTCGCTCTCCGCTCGTATTAATCGTGGCATCAGAATAAATGCCGAAAATGATCGCGAAAATATTCTGGAGGGTGTATTAAAGCCTTGGGCACGCAAACATTTTGGCCGCAGACCTTGGATATTCCAACAGGACCCAGAACGTGTCACCCAAGAATGGTTACAAAATGAGGTTCCTCGCTGCATTTCCAGTGCACAATGGCCACCAAATCTCCGAATACCAATCCGTTGGACTATTGTGTCTGGAGTATTTGGAAAACAAGGTTGGGACTAAAAAATACCAAAGTGTCGATCACCTGAAGTAAGCGCTTCGGGGAAATTTCCTGGAATGGGCTAAAATACCATAGAGCAACATCCGGGCAGCGTAATTCGTGCCAAGGGTGACCACTTCGAACAAATCTAAACTTATTCTAAAATTTGATGCTATTTCCGAAATTTTTTGCTTTTATTCAATAAAATTAAAAAAAAAAACAAGTGTTCAAAAGAACATATTTTACTAACACATTTTTAATTTTGTTTTTATTATTATTTTATTCTATGTCAGCATATAACTGACCTATATAATTATTGTTTGCCTTATGCAGGCCAATAGCCTAAATAAAGAAACACCTCGATTGGTTTCACATTGCATGGGTTATTGGCTGAAGTAATTTATTGCTTAGTTAACTTTAAATGCTAGTTTTAATGAATTCAAAAATGTATAAATAGAAAGCAAAAATAAATTTTCTTGGTAGATTACAAGAAATTGTAAACATACCAAGGTTACACAATTCAAGTGTTGTGTATATCTGCTTTAATTAATATTAATAAACATTTTTTGGTGACCCCGACGTGATCCTGACAAGGATTACTTGATTCACTCATAAATTTCGAATTTCCCCCCACCAGTGGTAAGGAATTTGAAATATTTATTTGTGAAAGGAGCTAGTTACGTACAACTAGTAGCACCATCTAAGAGCCAGAAACATCTGGAGAAGAAGCCAGTACCTACATCAAGAATCTGAATCAACTGATAGCTAATCACCGTAAGGCGGATACAGTATGGATCTAGCTACAGTAATCGAGCAACAACAAGCAGCAATTGCCGAGTTGAGGAAGGCAATTGCGAACGTAAAAAAGGCTCCATTGGAAAGAAGAACGGTGGAGTTCTACAGCAAAAAGCTCAAGGAAATGGAAGCACTCTGGGCAGAGATCGATCGCAATGAAAACAAAATTCGTGCAGATCCTGCGGCAGAGTCACATCTCCATATCACCAATAACGAATACCAAGTCATTGGTGAAGAGTACAGAGCTGCAATCGACAACATCGAGGCAGACATCAAAAGGGGCAAAGAACAAATGCCTCAGAAACCGCTTCCCGCAACAAGGGAGGGGGTGCAAAAACAATCAGGCCAGTTTACTGCAACCAGCAGCGTGACTGCATTAGTGAGACGTCAGAGGGCTCTAATGCAGTCCATACAAACGTTAATAAGGGGCAATTCAGGCCAAGCTGCTCCCTGTCAGACAGTGGCTGCAATTGAAAAACTGTGGACACACGTGGAAGATATCCACTTCAAAATGTTCGAGGACTTTGATGACCCAACGTTGGTGGGGTACGATGCATCAGCCTACGTTCTCTTAGAGGAAGAGACGTTAAAGTTCAAAGAAAAAATATCGACGCTAACACAGGTCGATCATTCGTCGTCTCAGCAGAGATCAGGCGGAAACTTGGCAAATCAAGTTAATCTGCCAAAAATTACAATCCCTCAATTTAATGGGGATTATTCGAAGTGGCAGACGTTTGCTGACATTTTTGGGAAAATGATCAACGAGCAAGCCTTGCCACAAGTGCAAAAAATGTGGTATCTCAAGGCCAACGTGACTGGGGAAGCCGAGAAACTCATAAGGCACCTCGAGTTGACCGAGGCGAATTACGACATTGCCTGGAAGACACTCCAAGACAGGTACAATAACAAGAGAGCTCAAGTGTCAACTATACTTGAGAGAATGCTAAACCTGCCCAACATGTCTGGCGATAGCAGATCAGTGAAGGACTTTCATGATAGTCTTCATGAATCGTTATTGGCATTGGAGGGTCTTGGAGTAAGGCCAAAGGAATGGGATCCACTCTTAATCCACATCCTAACAAAGAGGATGGACAAGACTACTCATGTGTTGTATGAGCAGTCGATTGTAGATTCGAAAGAACTCCAAACGATGGATCATTTCATGAAATGTTTGAGGAGTCGTTTCGAATCATTAGAAGCTGTCAATGGGATTCAGAAGAGCAAACCGTCAGCAACGACTGCTTCCACCACGATCCGTAGATGTCACATGTGCAAAGGTGACCACCCCCTATATTACTGCAAACAGTTCTTGGCAATGACAGTGCCCGAAAGACAGAAATGGGTTGCTAGACACAAGATGTGTCTAAATTGCTTCAAGGATGACCATCAGGCAAAAACGTGTACAAGTGGGAAGTGCAGGAAGTGTCAACAAAAACACAATACACTTTTGCATTTTTCAACGAGGCCACAAGTAGAGAACAAGTCAGCAGATTTGTCGGTTCAACAGCCGCCAACAGTAGCATCGGCGAATAGATCCCAATCATACGTACTTCTTGCAACCGCACGTGTTGCGATCAAGGCAAATAATGGAAGAAGCTATGAGTTTAAGGCGATTCTGGATTCCGGTTCACAAATTAATCTGGTGTCAGAGCGACTAGTGCAGAGGTTGGGTATCGAACCCATTCAAACATCTCTCTGTATCGAAGGTGTTGGAGGTAGATCAAGAACCGCAAACCACAGGGTCAACGTGGAGCTTAAGTCACTCACCAGCAAATTCAGAACACGCCTAGAAGCCTTTGTGTTACCAAATATAGTGCCACCCCAACCAAGCACTGAGATCGACATCACATCATGGCCTATTCCAGAAAACATAAAACTAGCAGATCCCTATTTTTATCAAACGACCAGGATTGACGTACTACTTGGAGCAGAGTTCTACTTCAACCTGATTCTCTCACAAGAACTTCGAATGTCCAAAGAGCTTCCTATATTGAAGAACTCAAAACTAGGATGGATTGCTAGTGGAAGAGTTCAGGCTGAATCAGAAACTGTGACATGCGCCGTTTTCGGAGAAGATGAACATGCTTTAGAAGATTTATTAAAGATGTTCTGGGAACAAGACGATGTTTGTGAAGACCAGAAGTTGACAATAGCAGAGGAACAGTGTGAAAATCACTTCAACCAAAATACAACAGTGAATGAGAATGGTCGGTTTGTGGTGCGATTACCGTTTGCAGACGGCCCTGAGAAAATTTCTGAATCCTTGAATATTGCAGCATCAAGATTCTTTGCGTTGGAACGTCGCTTATCTAAGGATGCAAGTCTTCACGAGCAGTATGCTAAATTTATGAAGGAGTATGAGGATCTGGGACATATGACGAAAATACAATCAAGAGAGGTGCGTGGTAATCATTACTATATCCCGCATCATTGTGTCCTACGCCCAAATAGCAGCACAACAAAACTGAGGGTTGTGTTCGATGCGTCTTGCAAGTCATCATCTGGATGGTCACTCAATGATATTTTGCATTCAGGTCCCAGGGTTCAAGGAGATCTGTTTGGAATGCTGTTGCGGTTTAGACTGCCGAGATTTGTGTTTACAACAGACATTGAAAAGATGTACAGACAAGTGCTAGTCGACAAAAGAGATCGCAAATATCAACTAATCGTATGGAGAAACACTCCAGACAAGGAACTCGAACATTACATGTTGAATACGTTAACATATGGTACGACGTGTGCCCCATATCTTGCTACAAGATGTCTGAAAAGGCTAGCAGATACGAACATACAAAGATATCCATTGGGGGCGATGGTATTGCAAAAGAATTTTTACGTTGACGATTGCATGTGCGGGTCTGACAGTTTAACAACGGCAATTGAGATGCAGAAACAAGTTAATATGTTACTACTGGAAGCTGGATTTAGACTACGAAAATGGTGTGCTAACCACTTAAAACTGCTGCATGGAATTCCTCCAGAAGATAGAGAAGTAGATCTCAATTTTGACAAATCATCAACCAAGGTTTTGGGATTAACATGGATTCCTCAAGCAGACCGATTTTGTTTGAAGAGTGATGTGAACGAATGCACCAAGGTCACCAAGCGGAAGGTCACATCTGATTTGGCAAGATTGTTTGACCCCTTAGGAATTGCGGGTCCTGTGGTGTCAGCAGCTAAGATCTTTATTCAGCAACTGTGGAAGAATAAACTTGGCTGGGACGAGGAACTGCCAGCAGAAAGGGCAGCATATTGGCTATCGTTCCGAGAAGGTCTGAAGATGTTAAATGATTTCAGGTTACCCAGACACATGTTTGATGGAGAGAAACCAACAAAAATTGAGATACATACTTTCGTGGACGCGTCAGAAAAGGCATATGGTGCTGTGGTGTATCTTCGAGCTATGCTGCCAGACGGCAGGCATATAGTCAGACTTCTTTGTTCAAAATCAAAAATAGCACCAATAAAGGAGATCACGCTGCCACGGTTAGAGCTTTGTGCCGCTGAATTGGGAACAAAACTTACTGCTAAGGTCAAAGCCGAATTGGGTTACGAAGATCTAAGGACTATTTATTGGTCAGACTCAGAGATTACATTGTACTGGATCAATTCAGAACCATCAGCTCTAAAGACGTTCGTTGCCAACAAGGTAAAAAATATACAAGGCAGATCGATAAACACTCAATGGCGACATGTGGGGACGAAGGATAATCCTGCCGATTATATATCCAGAGGTATGAAACCAGATCGTCTGTCGGGATGTCTGATGTGGTTTTATGGACCCACGTATCTACATGGAAATGAATCTCTCTGGCCGGGGCCCTTCTCAAAGAATAGAGAAAATCAATCCGATCTTGAATTCAAGACAAAATCTACAGTATCAGCAATTGCCTCACAGAGTGGGTTACAGGATATGATCTATGGAATCAACCACAAGGGTTCATTTAGACGATTACAACGTATTGTCGGTTATGTCCTGCGATTTTCAGAAAGGATAAAGGGACGCAAGCATGGAAGTTCGACAGATGTATTGACACCTATGGAGTTGAATCAGGCGATGCAACTAATAGTCAAGACCGTACAGGTGGCAGATTTTGCGAAAGAAATTCAGCAATTGAGGAAACATGGAGCATTGGACAAATCAAGCTCCATACATAGTTTAACTCCGTTTCTTGATGACAGAGGAATACTTAGAGTCGGTGGCAGGTTGGAAGAGGCAACCTTAGCATACGACACAAAACACCCGATGTTGTTACCATACAACGATCCAATTGTGAAACTCATTCTTAGCATGATCCATTTAGAGAATAGCCACTGTGGGTCACAACTATTACTGGCAACATCAAGACAAAAATATTGGATAATCAAGGGGAAGGCTATGGCTCGCAACATTGTGCAAAATTGCGTAAGGTGCACCCGGGCGAAGCCAAAGTTATACAACCAAATCATGGGAAATCTCCCACCGAGCATAGAGACCAAGAGTAGGAGTGAAGAGCCATCTCCAAAGCGATTGAAGACGTCAAGCAGCATGCTAGTATCGATGATGCTTGTGGCTTTACTATTTTTACCTCTATGCTTGTGTCATTCGTTCAACATACACAAGTTTGAGAATAAGCCCGGCATCTATTTTGAAGGAATTGGAATCACAAAAGTAGTAACAGCAGAGTGGAAACTGATCACTTATTATGATCTTTCCCCATTTTGGGCAGATATGGATGGCTTTTCTACCGGGATAGGAACCCTTCAGAAGTTGTGTAAGATAGCAGTTGAGAACAGAAGCTGTGAGATACTTTCAGAAAATCTTATTCAAGTACAAAAGCAGTTGGAATCAAATACACTGAACATATTCCCCAGGCGCATCAGGAGAGGAGCTCTAAACATAGTCGGGAACCTCGCACACTCGTTATTTGGTGTCTTGGATTCGGAATATGCGGAGCAAATGACTGTGACAATTGAGAAGGCAATTAAAGACAAGCAACATTTGTTGGATCTTCTAAAAAATCAGACATCTATTATTGATTCAACAATCAACATAATTAGAAAGGACGAAGATACGAGCCAAAGGAACTTCGGCAACATGCAAGTGGAGATGAACCTTTTGGCAAATAAGCTCATGCTACTTTCATCAAGGTTGAAACATATAGAAGATAACTTAATCGACGTTTTAACGGATGCTCATCATGGTCGGATAAGTCCGTTGCTACTTACGCCACATCAATTGCTACAAGAGCTCCAAACCATCAAGGCTCACATTCCTCCATCTCGTGCTCTACCCGTTCGCGAAGATAATGTTTCGGATTTCTTCAAATTAATGAAGAGTAAGGGAAGGGTTATTAAGAACCATATCATATTCGAGATTCGCCTTCCATTAGTGGATCTCCAGCAGTATGATTTATTCAAAATGATCCCCGTACCTATGCTACGATCCGGTCGATTTATTTCAATAGCTTTGAAATCAACATTATTGGCAGCTAACGTCCATCGGGATGAGTTCATATCGCTAACCGCAGAAGAAATGAACAGCTGCATACATACCACAAATGACGTTTTTATTTGCGACAACCAAGCGAAATTTAGCAAAGGCGATCGATCACATTTATGCGAGGTGATTTTCTTATTGAACAAATCGTCAGAAGCGTGCGACTTGCAATCAACCATGCACCACCAAACTTGGAGACAAATGGAACAAAAGAATAAATGGATGTTTACTCTAGCCAATTTAACAGAATTGTCCTTTGTTTGTGGTACAAAAATGACACACCTGGAGGTGCAAGGAGCTGGAACTTTAGAAATTGGGCCAGGCTGCATTTTCAAAGACAACACATTTACAATATACGGTCACTACGAAAACAAAACAACAGTGCACACATCATATCTGAGACTTAAGCCACTGGATTCCATAATCTCAAGCAGTAAGCTTGTCTTGCTCAACAAAACATTAAACAGCACCTATGAAACACATGCTGCTGAACTCGTCACCTTACACCAACAGCTAAAAACTATTGAAATCGGACGCCTTCCACAATTAATGAAATCGACGGCCATTCACCATCATACCATCAGCTATCTAGCTCTTTGCATTGGAATTGGAGTAGCCATATACGTCATTGTCAAGTTTCGGCACCACAGAACTTCCAACAATAACATGAACCCAACACCTACCCCTCGGCAGTCAGTCTCATCATCATACGTCATTGACCAGACAGTTTCTTGAACGTTCCTCGTTCAACGTGGGGGAGAATGTTCAAAAGAACATATTTTACTAACACATTTTTAATTTTGTTTTTATTATTATTTTATTCTATGTCAGCATATAACTGACCTATATAATTATTGTTTGCCTTATGCAGGCCAATAGCCTAAATAAAGAAACACCTCGATTGGTTTCACATTGCATGGGTTATTGGCTGAAGTAATTTATTGCTTAGTTAACTTTAAATGCTAGTTTTAATGAATTCAAAAATGTATAAATAGAAAGCAAAAATAAATTTTCTTGGTAGATTACAAGAAATTGTAAACATACCAAGGTTACACAATTCAAGTGTTGTGTATATCTGCTTTTCAATGATGTTGACGATTGGTTCGCTGATGGGTCAACCTGTGCCGTTAACGGTTCTCCCACAAGAAAATGACCAGGTGTTAATGCAGCTAGATCATTTGGATCGTCAGAAATAGGAGTCAACGGTCGGGAATTCAGGATTGCTTCTATTTCAATAACAACTGTTTCCAACTCTTCGTGGGTTAATGATGCACTATTAGTGGTGCGAAGCAACAGTTGCTTGGCTGACTTCACCGCGGCTTCCCATAAGCCACCAAAATGTGGTGCTCTTGGGGGAATAAACTGGAAATCGATCCCTTCTCTTGAGCACGTCTCCGCTATTATTTCTTTGCCTTTCTCCCCAAAGACAGCCTTATTGAATTCATCGAGCTGATTTTTAGCACCTACAAAGTTAGTCGCGTTGTCTGAATATAGGGTTTGACATTTTCCTCGCCGAGAGATAAATCTCTTCAATGCTCCAATGAATGCTTCCGTTGTTAGGTCTGTAACTACTTCCAAATGTACAGCCTTTGTTGCGAAGCAGACAAAGACAGCGATGTAAACCTTGTGTGGTCTCTTGGTCTTAATAAACAACAAGTAAAAAAGCTGTAAGTTCGGCCGGGCCGAACTTTAAATACCCTCCACCATTTGGTACAAATTAGGCAATTTCCAAAAAAAATAATAATAATAATAAAATCCGTTAAAAACTCTGTTAAAATATTAAAAATACCGAATTCCTATACGACGACGTGGACCTGCATAGGCAAGTTTTGTCATAAGTTATCACAATATTTAAATGCGAAGCTCGAAGAAAAATCTGTTTATAATGTATGTTAAAAACGGTAAAAGGGCTGAATTCGAAGTTACAAAGGTATCTGAAAGCATCAAAATACCGAATATAGGGGGTACCTTTATATGGGGACTATACGAAGACGTGGACCTGCACAGACAATTTTTTGGGATGGGCTGAAGTAGCCATTACGAACTTCACATGCGAAATTTGAAACAATCCCGGTAAATAATGTCGCTAAAATCATAAAAATACCGAATATCGGGGGGTACGGTATATGGGAGCTATACGAAGACGTGGACCTACATGGCCCATTTTTTGTTTTATGCTGCAGTATCTATTACAAACTTCAAATACCAAATTTGGAATGATTCCGTTAAATAATGTCGCTAAAATCATCAAAATACCGAATATCGGGGGTACCGTTATATGGGGGCTATATGAAGACATGGACCTACATGGCTCATTTTTTGACTTAGGATGTAGTATCCATTACGAACTTCAAATACCAAATTTGAAACGATTCCGGTAAATAGTGTCGCTAAAATCATCAAAATACCGAATATCGGGGGGTACCGTTATATGGGGGCTATACGAAGACGTGGACCTGCACAGATAACTTTCTGTCTTAGGCTGTAGTATCCGTTACGAACTTCAAATGCCAAATTTCAAACAATTCCGTTAAATGATGTCGCTAAAATCATCAAAATACCGAATATCGGGAGGTACCGTTATATGGGGGCTATATGATAACGTGGACCTACATGGTCCATTTACGAACTTAACCTGCCTACTGGCAAAATATACATGTGTGCAAAATTTTAGCCTTCTATCTCAATTTGTACGAAAGAAAGCGTGATTACAACAGACAGACAGACATGGCTAAATCGTCTTAGACTTTTACGCTGATCAAGAATATATATTTCCTTTTTTTTGGTCTGACATGAGTATTTCGAGGAGTTACAAACGGAATGACAAAATTAATATACCCTCCATAGTATGGTGGAGGGTATAAAAATGTAAAAATTATGGCGTCTGACTTTGTTGCAGATTTTTATCTCTCCCTGTATACAAATAGTTCCATTAAATTTCACCCAAGCAGTTTCGTCAGGAGACTAATAACAATTGTCCTTTTTACGTCCTTGAGTTACTTGCAATTTCCAGAAAAAAAATTGTTGAACTTTTCTCGTTACAATTAATTGGAATCGATTGTACATCAAATGTTCACAATATGAGTGATGAATATTCATTTCAAGATGTTACCAGGATGACGATGATGATGATGATGATGGGGATGATCCTTTTTTGTTGTATTTTATTACAGTGCCGGAAACGTGCAGACATTTAGCATAAGAAAACTAACATCAATACAATACATAATGATTTTCTGTGTATGTGTATATCATCCCACTGTAGCAGCGGCAATGTGTACGGCAATAGTATCTGATTTCAGCATTCAACAAATATTAATTAATTTTATGCCACTTTCCACCTACAGGTTGCCAAACCAATACCGCTACCACCACTAGCTACAATGATAAGAAATTTCAGCCATAAGTTACCCATATCACAATGTCTGTGTAAATATGCTTTGTTCTGCGTTCTTTTTTTTCCTTCTTTCTCTTGACATCAATTAATTATAATTTTATTAATTATATTATAATGGCGTATTAAGCGTAAATACATTAAGGATAATTACTAATAGTGTTCAAGTGAAATGGGATACGAAGGATATATTAAGGATATATGTATGTGGAAAGAATAAAGTATTTAAATGTCTGAACTAAAATGTCTAATTAATTCAATTAATTCGAATTAAAAAATGCTGATTCATATGACATGTTGAAATAGGAGTTACTATGGTAGGTATTAATATAAGGAAGTGATTATGAGTGATTATTATGGAAGTGATTATGAAGAAACCTCCATGAAGGTCCATTTCCAATGAGATTTCCATTCCCACCAATCTACAGATGTAAACCAGTAAAGAAAGTCCTAAAGTCGTGCGGGGCCGATTTTATGATACCCTACACCACTTTGCTAATTTAGTTGAGCTCCACTTAATAATTAAAAGTTTTTATGGGAGAATTCAATCATACACGCTATGATTATAATTATAAATTAAAATTCAAAGGACTAAATATGCCGAAGCATTTGTATCTTTTAGATTCGAACTTGTATTGCCCATTTGGTGCTAAATTAATTTGAAATCGGATAAAAATATATATGGGAACTATATCCAAATCTGAACCGATCTCGATAAAATTTGGCAAAGATATTTCTGAGCTGTATTTGATATATTTCTCTGAATATCGTTGTTACGGAGTGCATATTACGGCTGTGGGTAACAAATACAATAAATCGGATGAACAATATATATGGGAGCTATAACTATATCTGAACCGATCTTCGCCAAATTTGGCATACTACCTTCTACACTCAATTCGGTCGTATGTGCCAAATTCCATCCCATTTGGACAAATATTACACGTTTGGTGCACAATAAATGGTAAATCGGAAGAAGTTATATATGGGAGCTATATCCAAATCTGAACCGATCTCGATAAAATTTAGCAAAGGTATTTCTGAGCTGCATTTGATATATTTCCCCAAATATTGTTGTTACAGAGTGCATATTACAGCTGCAGAGGATAAAATAACAAATCGGATGAACAATATATATGGGAGCTATAGCTATATCTGAACCGATTACGATAAAATTTGGCATACTTATTTTCAGGCCTAATTTGGTTGTATGTGCAAAATTCCATACTATTCGGGCTGATATTACACGTTTGGTGCACAATAAAAGGCAAATCGGACGAAGATATATATGGGAGCTATATCTAAATTTTTACCGATTATCTCCAATTTCAATAGGGTTCGTCCTTAGGCCAAACAAATGTTGTTTGCAAAATTTCATCTCAATCGGATAATAAATGCGACCTGCATTTTGTTCACAAGAATACATGGACAGACGGATGGACGGACAGACGGACTGACATTCAAATCAACTCAGAAAGTGATTCTTGCAGATCATCAAAAGGAATTATGGATCTATCTCGTTTGCTTTTGCCTGTTACAAACAAATGCACAAAGACATAATACCCTGACCACCTTCTGGTGTAGGGTATAAAAAGTAGTGAAATAACTGACTGACTGACTGACAGAAAATCACAAACAGAAAATCAAGTGAAGACAAAACGGCTTAAGCTAGAATCTCGAATTTTTCCACGTCTTGGTGCGTGGGAGTGTGATTAGGCTGGGATTTCTAAAATTCGTATTAAAAATTAAATACTTTGTATTGCACAAACGGAATGAAATAGAATTCTGAAATTTGGAATCAGAGTCACTGATGGAGTACAGGTTAGATGTACGAAAGGGTTTATGGAAATTCAAACTCTAAGCTCACAAGAAGTTCTAAAATGGTCGGCGCTTGAGTTCTGGTGGCCAACCGAAGGTGCACATTTTTAGCTGACCTCTTTGGCAAGTAAGCACGGTCGTTTTGTTTGTTTAAAAACTGCTGGACAACAAATATTTGCTCATCGGAGAAAGCCAAAGTTCAGGCAGTTCACCACTTTCGGCCAAGCGAAGTAACTCTTTAGCTCTTTTGAGTCTATTTTCTTTCTGCTACGGTGTAAGTTCTCGCACTTTTTGGAATTTCAATTTTTCAATATTTGCCGAAGGCAATATTGCGATATGTTCAGCCCATGAGCCAATTTTCGGCCACTGCGATGCGGGTTTCGATCAAGTCGCTTTTTTATTTTTCGAACCATTTCTGCTGATGGTGCTGTTTTCTTCCTTCCACTTCCTTGACGACGGGCTACGCTACCAGTATCACACTAACGAGCGATGGCACAACTCACAAAAGATTTATTCACATTTAAATGCTGGAGTGGTCTAATGATAACCACTTGTGGTTTTCCAGCCAAATATAAAGAAATCAAACAATCACGCTTGAATTCCATCACGAATAACTTTTTTCTGGAAAATTCTGATCAAAATGCTTTTCTACGATTGTAAACAATATAATGAGCTGTGACTTGAATAATTTTAACAACTGTCGGACGAGTGGATTTGAAATGACAGCAGTCTGAAGATGGTTGCAGTTTTTTCATCTCACCGTCATTAGGTATTTTGTGAAGGCAATGATATAATATTCTGAAATTTGATATACTGAGGGAGTCTGTGTTTGAGGTTTGACGGTGATTTGGAAATCCGTCCTATATTTGTATGAAAAGTACTAAATGATAAAAGGGACAGGGCTTGAAAAACTTAAAAATTAAATATTTTGAAGACTTTTTAGTGTAAAATGTAAACAATTTCCTATTTTTCTTCCCGAAAAAGGAAAAACTTGAGTAACATAAAGAACCTTGAACGTTGTATGGAGTTTTGATTAAATTGATTTTTTCAAAAATAGAATATTATGCATCTATACAAAAAAGCCTAACACGAACTTCTGAAACTAATCTAAAATTTTAAGGTGGAAACGCTGACGAAGTTGCAGGCACTTGCTAATGTAATATAATTTTAGATAAAATTAATATATTTGTACAAAATATAACAAATGCTTGTTCATCTTATTTCACAAACTTGTTCAAGTAGCGGGTAAATATATTATTTTCGAAGTGACTCTGACGGCCAAAAAGTTCTGCATTATTTGGTAATGGAAATTTAGGAAACTTGAATTTTGGAAACAGTTTTACAACAACAAAAAAATTATAACATATACATATATTACAAACTCAAAATAATCCATTAACATATTTAAAAAAATTTCAGTTGCAACAAGTTCGCAGAATTAGAAATCAATCAGCCGTACTCAAATCTTTGGGGTGGGTTGTTTGGCAATATCACAAATGTTCGCACAAAACTTCCATTGTGTTCATATTATTTAAATATATTATTTAAAATATACCAATTTTCCCACACGACCTTTTCAAATCATATCGTTTACACTCACATACACATATAATTACATTTTTGTTATAACTTTTAGCAAAAAAAAAATCATAATTAATTGAACATATGCCAATTATACCACAATAGAATTAAATTATACTATATGCATGTCTATGATTATTTAGTTAAATAATTTACTGTAATAACAACAATTGGAATAACATTTAACAAATACCCACACACACCCAAAACAATCACAACACAAACAAATAACAGCTAGAGTGGTAGAGTGTGTGGTTGTGGTAGCCAACTAAAACCCATCATCAGCTTCATTGACTTTGAAATAATCCAGGCTGCAAAAATATTTACGCAAATGGTGTGGTGATAATAAATAAATATTAATAATGTTAGAATTTTTATAATTTGTTATAAAATTTTTGTATTAAACAAAATTATAAAAAAATTTTCTATTTAAAAATATTTTTTTTAACAAAATGACGACAGATATAAAAAAAAAAATATAATTTCTACAAAATAGGGCACATGAAATACTTAATTTTTATGCAGTTTAAAATAGAGCTATGAAATTCCAATCCAAACTTTTTTTAGGTCCTAAAAAATAGGCCCATCTGATGCCTGATTTTTATCTTTGGGGACCTTTAAATGACAGATTGTCATATAGGGTACACTAACATAATCCTCACTACAATTTAGTTAAAGTATGGTAAAATTGTATTCTCCTTGAGGCCGAACCGCAATGTTATTGCCTGGTATCTTAAATTTACCAAATATTTAAAAAAAACTAAAAGCAGATGAGCAATTATTAGGGCAATTTCCCTAACCCTTAGAAGGGCCATCAATTGCGATTTTATTATTTTTTTTTTTTGCAAGCTTCTCGCTTGAGATTTCTTTTGGATTTTCAATTATTTATATATAGCATAATTGAAGTCCTCAGTTGTGGGTTATTTAAAGGATTTTTATATTTTATTTTAAGGTCTTATATCGTGGACTGTGAAAACATAAATATTTCATTAATAATTATAAATACATTTTAGTAGCTTAATCGTTCAATATTTAATGAATTTTTGTATCATCCTTGAAGTCCTCAATCGAGGATTTTGAAAAAAAACAATGTTTCTAGACTCCTTCTTCTAGGTCCTTCGTTGACGTCCTTTAATGCCGTTTCTTTACTACGAGAATTTTTTCTGAAGGTCTTAATTCATTTCGTAGAATTTTTAAAAAAAATTATTTGTTTACTCTGAGAATTTGGAGCTTAATTTAAGGGTTCCAACGCACATTTTGAAGAAATTCAAAAATGTAGATTTTTTATTACCTAGGTTATCCAATCGAAGCCCTTAATTGTAGACTTTTAACAATTTTTTAACGTTATATAGGGGTATTTTATCGTTGATTTTTAAAGGAATTTTTATAGCGTGCTTTGCCGTCTTCGATCCCTGTATGACAATGATATTCTGGTTTTGAAAGAAAAAGATGCCAACCAACTTCTGTCATTTCTAAGCTACTCGTCCGACAGCTGTTAAAATTATTCCTGCTGGTATTATTATTATTATTATCATCAGAGCACTCCAGCAAAATCTTTTGTGTCTCGTACTATCGCTCATTACCGTTATACTTGTAGCGTAACCCGACATCAA